AGGATCAGGGTGATCCGAGTGAGCTGCTCATAGGGATTACTGTGAGCCACCATGATCCGGGAGCAAAGAAGTTCTATGTAAGTTTGGATAGTTTTCATTCGATAGGAGCTTCGTACTCAACCCAGTTATCATCCAGAATATTAGTTTATTCCTCTTGATACAAGCAACGAGTTCACTTTCAGATGAACGCCCTGACCTGAGTGCCACGCTTCTGTTACAATACCCTGCTATTTGGGCTTCTGACACTATAGGTTCATTTTTGGCTCGCCTGATAATTGAAATCCAAGGAATCACGAGTTTTAGCTAGCTAGTTTTGATACCTTTTTTAATAGATATGGCCATGGTTCTACAAAATTACGGTATAGACGTGGTTAAGGGTGTTTTGGTTGATTGATAATAACCACTTCATTGCCAGAATCTCGTTTATAACAGATTTAGATAAAAATTGATGTCTAGTTGTGCAAAATACTCAAATAATCGCCTCTAGAGATATATAAGCAGGCACTGGGAACATGGAAGAGACTTCAAAGCTATGTTGGCAATTGAAAGAGTAGGAACACCACGTTTGATCTATGTCACTGATAATCAGGGAGATGAAAATGATTTAATCCCAGGGAATGCCATATTTTTGTGAATGAACAGTTAATGCTCATCCTAGTAAGTCATGAAGATGAACGTCTATGCTAGGTACCGCAGAATCGTAGTGTTCGTTTGTGTTCCTCTAGGCTTTCCAGAATCAACGGAAGTATGACTGTTTCCCCGGTATGCTTTAGAGTGTTAAATTAGATCGCGCTGTGTGTCTCAGCAATAGCTATTTTTTTTTTTGCTGGGAAGAATAGGTATAACAACTTTGACCCTGAATGATGTGGTTATGGTGGTCATCTATTCTATTCCCGCCTGTAATGAGCATGGTATGGTTAACGAGATTAGGAGAAACATCAGCAACGAGACAGCTGTAATGATAGGCTTCCAGGAGTGTATCTATCAAGTCGGGGCACCCGTTGCGAAGTTTCTAGAGCTTTGCGAAGGGATGCACGTTACGTTGACATATCTTGTATCCATACCCTCTGCTTGAATATGATAAGGGTTGTATCGATATCAACTCTCGGATAATTGAAAGTGCTGACTCATCAGGCGCGGATCCGCCCCACCAATTTTGTCAGTTACCTTAGCTTCATAAAAGAATTATTTTTTGCTAGGAAAAGATATGAGGCTCGCCACTTTTTAAAAATCAAAGCAACCTCTTGTCCCCAACATCCCCAGCCAACGCACACCCTCTCTCTCACTTGGTGCTTCTCTTTAACATATCTCATACCAAGAAGATGGCAGCGGACGCTGAGCCTGCAGGCGCTGCGGCCCACAGTGCCTTTGATACAATACTGACTCTCGATTTTGGGTAAGTGGCAATCTCAAATAACTCATGCTAAGTATGCAGTAACTAAATTAGGTCTTTTGGATCAGCTCGCAGTACACGCACCTGTAAGTTATTCCCGAGTACCATTCAATTGTGGTCAAGTATGGGGACATGCTGATTGTGGATGCAAAGTATCACTCGCCGTCTCCGAGAGCTAAACGTCTTCTCGGAGATGCTCCCATGTACCCAGAAGATCTCGGAGCTAAACTTCACTCCTAAGGGAATTATTCTTTCCGGTGGTCCGTATTCAGTCTATGAAGCAGATAGTCCTCATGTTGATCCTGCTATTTTCGATTTGGGTACGTCTTTCTTCAACCCTAATCCTCTACACTTTGCTAACATCTTAACTTCACAGGTGTTCCCATCCTAGGAATTTGCTGTACGTAATTATCTATTTATCACCTAGCCATTAAGTAGAGGCTGACGCAAATGGTTTAACAGACGGTATGCAGGAGCTTGCATACCGCGCAAGTCCAGATAATGTTATTGCAGGCACTCACCGTGAATATGGTCATGCCATTCTCAAGCCGCAAATGATCAATAGCCACGTTGACCGTCTCTTTCAAGGACTCGAGGAACCCATGCGAGTATGGATGAGTCACGGCGATAAGCTGGCAAAGCTCCCTGAAGGTTTTCATACCGTGGCTACTTCTGACAACTCCGAGTACGCAGCCATTGCCCACGGCACCAAACCCATCTACGGCCTACAGTTCCACCCAGAAGTTACTCACACGTCAAATGGCACTAAACTCTTGGAAAACTTTGCGCTCGGTATTTGCGGCTCCAAGCAGACCTGGACAATGTCCGCATTTATGAGCCAGGAGATTGAGCGAATCCGCAAACTCGTTGGTGAAAAAGGTCAGGTTCTAGGTGCAGTTAGCGGTGGCGTCGATTCTACTGTAGCCGCTAAGCTTATGGTATGTATTCCCAGTATTCTCTATTCATCTTTAGGCAGCTTAGTACATGTGCTCCTAAACTTCTACCATTATTTTCTCTAGGGGAAAAACTAACAATGGGTAGAAAGAGGCAATAGGATCAAGGTTTTGGGCAGTCCTTGTTAATAGTATGTATTTTTGTAGTTGGGTTTCTACCTTCAAAATATCTCAGCTGCTAAAATACTCTTGCTATCCCCAAGACAAAAGAAGTAGCTAACAATCTCCGGTAGACGGCGTCATGAGACTCAATGAGTGTGAACAAGTCCAAAAGGATCTTTCAGAACACTTGGGGATCAATCTTACTGTCGTGGACGCTTCGCAGCAATTTCTAGACGGGTTAAAGGGCATCGAGGATCCAGAGAAAAAGCGGAAGTTTATTGGTACGTTTAATGTTTAAAATTCTTATGAGTTTTTACACTATGTCTCATGTGCTCGTTAATCACACACCTAATTCCGAGATTAACCTCTTATTAGGTGGCAAGTTTATCGATATTTTCGAAGCAGAGGCAAAGAAGATCGAAGAAGCCGCTGCCAATTCTGATATGGCTGGCAAAATTGGGTTCTTCCTACAGTAAGTCTGTTGAGGCCAGACACGAGTTCTAGTTTTTGAATTGTGGACGCTCCTTCCCTTGGATGCTAAGAATTAAACAGAGGTACACTCTACCCCGATGTGATTGAGAGTCTTTCCTTCAAAGGTCCATCTGCAACTATCAAGGTTAGCCCTCTTCGAGAAGTGCAAGTGAACAAATGATCAGCCACTTACTAACCGGCTGGTAGACCCACCACAATGTGTATGCTACACCCCCTATTACTCTAGTTACATGTAAAAATTTTAATAACTTGTTTGAAGTGGCGGTCTACCGGAGCGAATGACGAACGGGCAAGGCCTACGCTTAATCGAACCACTTCGGAGTCTCTACAAGGACGAGGTTCGTGGTACGTATCAATCTCAAGTTTTCTATTTTTTGTCCCTGGACCTGAAGTAGTCCCAAGACGCCCCGTCTTGATATATTTGCTGGCAAACTTCATGCCGCACCTAATATAGAATGAAATTGCTGATGTAGTCGATTAGAGCTTGGCCGAGCTCTCGGAATACCAGAGAAACTTGTGATGAGGGTATGTCCTTAATAAACGAAAACTCCCATCCGATCTCCTTATTATAACAGGTACTGAATTAAACTCGATAGCATCCATTTCCGGGTCGTATGAATTCTTCACTGCCCGATTACCCCTAACAGATATTGACTCTTAACTAGCCGGTATTGCTGTTCGAATTCTAGGCGAAGTAACTCCTGAAAAGGTCGAGATTGCTCGCCAGGCAGATCATATTTTTATTTCCGAGATTCGTGAGGCTGGACTCTACGACCAGATCTCCCAAGCCTTCGCCGCACTTGACCCAAGTCGTGCCGTAGGAGTCATGGGAGATAAGCGTGTCTACGGGTATATCATTGTCCTTAGGGCTGTCACAACCACCGATTTTATGACTGCCGAAGCTTGTGAGTTTTACTGAGCATCGCATTACCGATGATGCGCAAGCTCTTTACTTAAAAGCACGATAAGGACTAACCTGGGTACTAGTTGAATTCCCATGGAAGTTTCTCCAGCGTGTTACAAGTCGAATTATAAATGAAATTCATGGGTACGTACTTTCACCATAAGAGACCTTTCTCCTTGGTAGTGCAGGGCTTTAGTGTCAATACTCTCTCTTACCCCTTTCGCATTCTTTAATCAATTATACTAATTTGTTGAATAGAGTATGCCGCGTCACCTATGATATCACCAGTAAGCCTCCAGGAACAATTGAGCTAGAGTGATGGTCCTATAAGTGTAGAGGTAAAATTTTGTTCTTCGGAGTAGGAGTCGAAGAATAGAGCGGGGGCAGATTAGACGTTGGGATTGGGAGCCATTGCGCGCATTACTGAGCCTACGAGAATTACATACTTTACTTCATGGCATGTTCAACGCTGTTTCCTTTGCTTTAGTACACAGTTAGGGCATACGAACCTAAAATACTTTGCATACGTAGTATAAGGTATCTTGAAGTCTTTTGATCAATAGACGTGTGCCAATGCAAATGAAAGACCATGAAAGGTAAAGAAGCCATTATGCTTCTAGCTCAGCTAAAGGGGCACCCGAGGGGTTAGAAAGATTGAGGACAGTTCAAACCTGCAAGATCTGATATGGTTCCATGATTCTTAAAGTCGTTCTAGTCTTGGCTTTACCTCATGCAGATTTTCTAATTACGCTTGAACGCAACCTGGGCATTATCATGAAACTGCATGTCTTAGACGTGAGAAATAGTACAAATGCATGTTGGAACATTCAATTTAATCCGGATAGCATAGCCGTCAATATGCGGGATGCATACCAGGACTTAACCGAAGGTGGGCATATCCCCCCCACATACCACAACTTATGTGTGTCCTCACAAAAATCAACACTGCAGTATACTTATAAGATTATTATATCTTTGCAAATGCTTTATACCAGTCCATCATATTTAAATGGTTCAAAATGTTTGACGGGTGGGTATCAAGAGTGTATGCCTTCGCTTACCCAAGACTCGCGGGGGGGAAAAACCATTTCTCAGTGGTCATAGCTTCTGAGAATACCTTGATATTGGTATCAAAAGAACAAAAAGATAATTCTTATAGCAATGCCACGTTTCGATCGTGGGACCTCCGGGTTATGAGCCCGGCGCGCTTCCGCTGCGCCACATTGCTTTTGAATTGAGCCGATTTGCTCATTTTATGATGTGGTTCTGCTTATTTTAAAATATAGATGGTAATGCAAATTTTTAAAGAAAGTCCGGGCATTACCCGAGACTAACGGTCAGCTAGCCTATCCATTGGCTTGCGACAGTACCAGACTAAGCCTAATGTATCTTGCTTCGTGATTTATTGCTGTTCTTCGCCTATGATTTAATTCATAAAGATATCAGTTTTGAGGCCGGTTACTCATATACACATATATACCTGCGCGAAGACACCTTCTTGTCTCTCTAGATAATTATCTATAATAGCTGTGTCATGTAAAATTCACCCTAACCTTCCTCGCTGGACTCCTCTTGGTGTGGCAAAAAGAAAAAAAAAGGTTTCATGGGTGGGGGGTATTTGGTTGGACACCAGTCGCACCCATTATTCTCACCTACCAAGTAACTTTCTCGGGCCAATAATAACCCGACATTCAGCTCCAAGCTTTGGAATTGATTATGGCCTTCTTCTTTGGAAGTCTGATAAAGGGTTTGAGGAACATTTCCAGGTCGCGGCAGATGCCCAAATGTTGATATTCAAGACTAGCATCCATACGAGTTTGTATATCTTCAATTACAGCCAAGAGGTCTCAGAAATTATTGCTTCCAGTCGAGACTTCCTGGTACTCGGCTTGGGTGTAGGCTAGTAAGTTCCAAAGCTTCTGTCTCTTGAATACTTGGAATTTAGAGTGAGCGACAACGAATACTGTACCATTGTAGTAATCCGGTTCAATCGTATCTTCATCCATTTAAGTGCTCCTTTGCCTAATATTTGATTTGGCAAGTCTTTGAGCATAGAGGTTGTGGATGTCATGTCGGAGACTTATGTGCCGACATCTAGCTCCAACAGTGAAATGACTATCACCCATGGTACTTCAAATCAACAACCAGACTGAGTTGAATGTACGAGGATGAGAACCAGCCGTACGAATAATTTTGCCTGGAAAGAAATTATTGCCAGAACATATTCCAACTGTGTTCGGTATGCTTCATACAACAGTAGACTATCTAGGTGTGATATGCAATATACGAGTCCCAAGATGCTCTTCAATTATCCACATTGTGTAGCATCTCAAGAAGTTAAGATCACCTGCTCGGATGTTTCTTGCATGCATTATAAGGAAAATAAGCAGAAATACGTCCTCGGGCCAAGGTAAGTTGTCAAGCGCACCTATGGAAACATGGTTACCGGCATTGCATGATAGCAACGAGGGCAGCAAACAGTATCATCCACATCTTGATAATGAAGACCGCTATAAAGCGACACCTTGCGCCCTACTTTCCGTGTTGCTGCGGCTCCAGGTTCAAAACAACCAATAGTCCCTACTGTGTCCGCTTAACAAGCTCTAAAAGGTCTTCGTTCACAAAAGCTCTGAATTATCAACTGACCCGTAAACAGCGTTGCTTCCGAGGAACTCTTTAAATATGCGAAATATAGCCCCACTGCTGCATCTACGAACGATCTTGACAATGCCTCTATATTCTGAGAACCACAGAAAATATAATCAAGATGGCCCAGCAATTAAGAATAGGTTAATGCTATGACTGGTCTCAGGCCCTACCAGGAGGATACCACTTGATTGAAATTGGTTCCTCAACTACCATTTGACGCACCATCTACAAGAAATCGCTTAAACTGTGGGTCAATTAATATTTCAAAAAGGAAGTATTGCTATCACCCTAAGCTTAATGAATCAGACGCAAAGATGATTAAAACGATCTAAAGCAGCGTGAATATCTAGATTAATAGTGTAGGGTTATCGCTCAGTAAAGGTACCTCTAAATCAGTGATTTACCTATAGGTTGACCCAACTATCGAGCGTTATGTCACAATTGCATGAATATCCATGCCATTTTCCTCTTCAAATATTGTTTTCAATTGACGCTTTCCCTCGATTTCCCTGTCGCTTGTTCACCAAAGAATGTTTTGAAGATGTGTAAGAATCCCCTTTTGTGTCTACTGCCAGACAAATATACCTTGGTTCCTCTCTCAACTTTTTTTATCACCTCCCCAGCTCTCCTTAGTTACAAAGACCATTCCGTGAGGTCCTCTAGAGTTGGTTCAAGTGTACGGGGATGTTACTCAAGCAGGCAGAAATAGTATACTTCTCCGCTTGGAATCAAATTATAGAGCAAATTTACAAGGCCCAAGGCATAACTAAGAAAATCAATGGGAAGTAAGGTGATGAATACAAGGATTTACCTATCTAGCAATATATCCTAAAGTACTGCAATGAACACCCCAAACTGCTAACTACTAAGAGCGATCAACGAGTGCGTGGGTTCCTCTCAGCATTTAATTTACCTTCGTCTACCCCTGCATTGCCTATAGATGTCCTTTTAAAGGAGTCCATGTAACATGGCAGCAAGGCTTTCATAATAATTACGACCTATAACGATAGCACGGCCTTTATCGAACTTAAGATATGCTTCCTTTTCTTACCAACAATGCCACCATCACAGTTAGGTTTAATATTCCTGGCTGTCCAGCAAATCTACCAGTACAATATGCTTGTCTATGGTGCCTACTACCAGTCTCGCACTATTGTCATCTCAAAAAGGAAATGCTATCATCCGCTTTTTAATTCAGAAATTGAGCACATCCTGGGGCACACAAGCTTAGATTTGGCCCTTCTCAAGACCACTACCGATTTGGTCAGTCGATTGTGAAGCTGGTCAGAATTTTTAATCACGTTTCTTGATATGGCAATCTGCTTTTCGTTTTCGTCATTTTGGGATGGGCTGTAAAGTTCATGGTTTTACTTCCATGCAAACCATAGTATCTATGTATATATACATATACTTGAACTCCTTGATCTTTTCCACTTCCAAGAATGTATACCTTGCTGCGGGTAAAAGCCCTTAATACTTCATCGAAAAATTATAGCCTAGGAAATATCCTCACTTTCAGGCACTTCGAGGCGTTTCTATAAGACAATATTATTTAGCCCCCTGCTCACTGGCAGATATCTACAACTTAGAAACTAATTATTGGCGCCTCACTTGAGAGCTTTTGCGTTCTATGCCTGCAGTCAAAAGAGGAAGGAGTTCGTAGTCCTCTGCACCCCACTTCTGCATGTCCAACAAGAAGCTTCCTGCTTACTCCGACCCGAACTCCGAAAGGAGTCATACCGTACCATGAAACCACGACCTCAATACAATATTTTGCTCTTCGATGACTTGGAATTATTTGAGGCTCAATACGAGTATTTATTAACATGACTACTTATCATAATCTTGCTTAGAAGTGCTCTTTTTGTTTTTTATCACGCTCCTAACTTAACGATCTGCATAACAGTTTCTCGGCTACCAAAGCAGGATGTCGTATTCAATTGAGACCCCAAGACTGTGGCTTCAACCCATGACAATAGAAGACCATTTTGAAGATTGGTGGGAGCTATGGAAGGATCCAAGATCTCTAACCTGGTCGTGCGTACATCCTCCTACCTCGATATTCTTATAACTCTCACTGCAATACTTAATCATAATCTTCAACTAGGACCAAAGGCGTCCCTGAAAACCGCGAGGAAGCACTAGCAAACATGGCCAAGTCACTCCCCGGCGGAGAAAGTCTCGACACTGACAAGTTCGCCGTCCTTCTTCGTCCCATTGAAGAAAACCCTCAACCCTGGACGAATGAGAAAGGCAAACCAAAAATGATTGGGATGGTTGGGACAAATAGGTGGAGTGCGCAGGGGTTTGAAACGGGATATTGCATGAATTTGAATTACTGGGGTAAAAAATATGCAACAGAAGCTTTTGGGGCGTTCCTAAAGTTATATTGGACTTTACCTGGTGAGTGGAACGACATTTATTGAAAGTAACGAGATTCAAAGTGTAAGCGAGAGAGTTAAGAAGTATTGCTGAATGTATTATAGAGAGGCAAAATATTAAAGGACTAGTTGCGAAGGTTGATCGGAGGAATATTCCAAGTCATAAGATTCTCGTGAGGGCGGGAGGAAGGCCAGGTGAACCGATTAAGGAAGGATACGCGCGGTTTATTGATGGGGGCAAGAAAAGTGATATGGAGTGTTGGCACTTTGATCGCCCTGGTGTTACGCCCGAGGAAGTAGCAAAATCATTGGAAGAGAGATCGACATCGTGAAAAGATGGTCCGTTCAAGGAACCTTCTATCCATTTTTTCTCTTCTCCAATCACTTCGTTGATATGAGTTGAGTAAACGTCTTGATAAAACTGTGAAGGAAGATGATGTCTAATAAAAAGAAGTAGGCCCAAATATAAACTAAGTAATGTTGGTGTATATGGCGTACTCAACTAACTGAAAATAGAATGAGATCATCAACGCCTTCTCCCCTTCCAACCTCATACCCCAACAAAACCCCCACCCCTACTAAACTGTTCCATTGCACCCTCCAAATATTCAGGCTCAATATTCACCAAAACAGATAACCCTTCTTTCTCAAGCACCTCCGTCTTAATCACAAAAGTGCCTAACAACACCGCTTCCTCAGTTGTACTAGCATTATCACTGATTCTATGAAAACACCCAGGTGCTTCATACCATGTCTCCCCAGCTTGGTATGTTTTCGCCTCGCCGGAGTTCATGGCGCTGACAACGGACCCAGAAACCACATAAGCAATTACGTTTGCGGTACCATGATTGTGTGGTGGTGTGGATGCGTTTGGCGGGAAGGTGACTTTCAAGCCGACAACTGTAAGTGACGGGTCACTGGCAAGAGGATAGCGGAAGGCTGGTTCGATGGTACCCGCTGGGCGACTATCAAGGGTGTTAGATAGTTGTTAAAAGAGGCAGGGGAAAAGGGATGGCCATGGAAATAGCTTTGGGCTCACTCTTTGTTCCAGGTGATGTTTGAGGGCATCTTGAAGGTTTAATATTCAACACAGAACTTGGGTATCGATGATTTGGGAATGATTGAGAAAGTATCCCGTAAATAAGATCAAGGAGGCTTATATATGAGTAGGGCGAGAATTGGAGTGATCGATTAGGTT